AAGACAAAAGTCCCAACGTTTTACAATATTCGTAATAATAACCGAGAAATTAATTGCGAAAATCAAGAAAAAGCGTGCGCTGAACGCTAGAAGACGAGCTATAATGCGGCCCAATAATATAGCGCGCGGATGTCGACGCGCGGCGCTTGGAAGTACAGCGCTATTGCTTGTGCTTATATCGCTGCGCTCGTACGTTTTGCTGCACCGCGCCGAGATAAGATGTAGGAGCGCAGCGATATAAGCACAAGCAGTAGCACGTTGTTCTTTCAATCGCCGCGCGTCGAAATCCGCACGCTATATTATTGGGCCGTGCTATAGCTCGAACCCTCCGTCTTCTACTATTCAGCGCACGCTTTTTCTTGATCTTTCGCAATTAATTTCTCAGTTATTGTTGCGAATATCACAAAACGGCATGGGACTTTTGTCTTCACCTCGACCCGTTCTCACGAGAGCTTCGTATATTATTCTGAAACACTCTGTATATATAATTCAACGAAAAAAATAATGTATAATAAATAATGTATAATAAACGAAATAAATAATGTATAATTTATATATAATAAAATTATATATAATGAGCACATCTTTTATGTTGTATATATACTTAAACGTCACTGATGTGATCAGAATGATATTTTCTACTCACTTCTGATCGTATAAAGCGATCTTATCGTGGATTCCGTAAAAGTCAACAATTTTCTTCCACTACGTAACTTTTGCATGCAATTTTTCAGGAAATTTTACAGAAAATCAGGACTTTCATCTTTAGATCGCGAAATGAAACCGTAAAATATTTATTCATATCGCGATTTTAACGGAGATATTTGTGTCACGGATATATATTTCTCAACAATATGAGTTTTTCACGAGTCAAAGTCGAGGAAATGTTCATTATGTATCTTGACGTTTTCAGTGAATTCTTTTCTTTTTGGAAGCATCAATCAATACACACTCTTCACATTTTCATTTTACTTTTTCTTCGATTAATTCCTACTGATTTAATTCCAATAAATTAATTCGATATTTGTCATTTAATATAAAACAAATAAATCCCTATATGTCAGAATTTCACAGCTGTAGCTGTAATATTAGCCTTATTATCTGGCGCATACTTGAATTAAACGATTTTACGGTCTTCTTTAAAATCATAACCATCGAATTTACGTGAAAATTTACGAAAAATGGGATTGGCAATGTCACGTTCGAAGACAATTACGTGTTTGAGTGTTCGATATTTCAATGGATTTTGAACACGCCCGAAATCAAGAGATACACGTATAGCTTTGCAAATTAAACACGCGGTGTTTACAATATGTAAATCTATCACAAAATCACACATATACAGGACACATGCAAATCAACCGCGCTTTCTTCGGCGCCGGTATTTTAGTCAATTTTTAATTGATTTTCCATTATCAAAAACGCGATACGCTCGCGGAATGCTATTCTCTTATGGTTTATTTTAGATTCTCAAATATATTAGATAGCTAAGCAAGCTTTGAATAGAGCTCTTAGTAAAATAAATCTCATTTAACAAAACCAAAGAAAGGAAAAAGAAATGTCATCAGAAAACGAACAATTGTAGTTATTCGCTCTATCAGCTTTAAAATTTCGCTTTTACAGGAACCTCCATCTTCAGGCTCTTCTAACTTCAGATTCGTCGAAGCTTCGCGAAAATTTTGCAGAAGAATAAACAATAGATCAACTTAAAATTCGCAGGAGTACCCACGGGTTGATAAAAGGCGCGGTTGATCTGGGACGCCCTGTATATCCCGCTAATCAATCTAACGAGCTTAGTTCGAGCTTAAAAGGGAACTGCGGCTTCACGCTTGCCGCGCGACTGCTGTTTTGATATAGCTTTTTGATATTAACGAATGGCTTATTAATTACTAATTATCTAACTCACATATTATCAAACTGTTATTTACTATTACTATGTTATCGTGCCATCCTTGCCGACTGTACCTTCGCGTGCACACCTTCGCTCTCATCACTGAGATCGTTCTTCTACTCGCGCTTCCATTCGCGCAATCAATTGATCGATCGTTCCGACGCTATGTAATGGCGATCGTCTTTCGCGAGCTAAGCGAGAGTTTACACCGACAATATACCGACACGCAGCGTGACAACTTACTCTGTTTATATGTGTTTGTATATGTGTTATTACTATAGCATTCAGCAGGAAGGACGGATAACGGGATGCAAATCGTTTCTATCTCTCTTTCTTTCTCTCTTTCTCTTTCTTGCCTTTCTCCCTCTTTCTCCCCTCTCTACCTCCCTCCCGCTCACTCTCTCTCTCTCTCTCTCTCTCTCTCTCTCTCTCTCTCT